GATTAGAAAAATGATTCGTCGCGGTCGATTGCGTGTGGCGCGGCGGTCGACCACGAGTCGGGTTTTGGCCCAGTTACAGTTTTTGACCTGTTTCCTTTTCTATTTGTAAAACCCTTAAGTCTATAAAAGGATTGATTAGGGCATGATGTAAAAGAGACGAAAATAGTAAAATTTTCTCCTGCGGCGGGTCTATAAAAGGATTGATTAGGGCATGATGTAAAAGAGACGAAAATAGTAAAATTTTCTCCTGCGGCGGCCGTTGACGTAGTTTCTCACATTGAGAAGCGAACCACGTAAATCTTGTGTGTTTGTGATTGATTGAATTCTCTCTTCTCTCCTAAATCTCTATTTCCAAATCGCATCAGGGGGGTTGTGCATCCCCAACAGGATGTTAGTTTGAAATATAGTTAGTGTTTTGTCTAGAAGTTAGGAATAATAGAGTTATAATAATGACTACAGTCTTCGATAGTCATCGTTATAACTCTAACCCTAACCCCATCTCTAAAACCAGCCCAAGCCAAGATCTAAACCTAACCCTAGCGTGAAAGCAATCTCCAGAAAGTTTCAAAAAAAGCAGCTTTGCCAACAGATTTGAATTAGGTCACCACATGTAATTTCATTAAGTAAATTTAGGATTATCTACCTATCTGATTTTCACTTTAACAAGTTGTAATAGGAAATAAATGAAAACTACTCAACGCCAGTTTCTTAAAATTTATCTCATTGACAGTTAGGGGGTGTCTGTTTGTATGCAAGTGAAAGATGAAAGTGAGAAAGTTACTTTCATTTAACAATTAAGATGTTTGTTTTCATGTAAATGGTTATAAAAGTGAGATGCAATTTTGAATTTCCCTAAAAAAGTGGTGAAGTCACAAGAAAGTGATAAAAATATAACTAATTTAATTAAATAACTTTAATTATACTTTCTAATTAATCTTATTTTACCACGTCATGTTCACATTATACTTTCGATAATAATTTAATTTTTCAAACAAACACTGTATTTCACTTGCGTGCTGATATGGATGTAAAAGTTATTTGTAAAAAAAGTAACTTACATATTTTAAATTCACTTTCAGATTGTCAAACACCCCCTTACTCTTTATTTTTTGCTTCTAGCTAGCAAAACAAACTTCACTCTTCAAGGGGCGATAAATAAAAAGAAAAAAAAAGGAGGAACCCTTTAACTTTTTGCCCACGTACTTATCAAAACATAAATAAATAAATAAATAACATAATAAAATAAAAATAAAAAAATAAAAAACAATTGGAAGCAGCAGTCAAAAAGGTTAATTGAACTGAAGGTGAAGTGTGATAACAACTAATCCGCGATGTGCTCCATAAGTTATGGGGACACTTGGCCATTTATTTGCACCAAACATTATATTACCAACATAAAATTAAGTAGATCATCTATTGGTCATGAGACCCGTGTTGGTCGGTGAGTGTTCTTCAATTACGTGGTTAGCTGAGGTTTTTAGTAGCGTACGACGTGATTTTATTATACGTGGATGTTGATGATTATTTAATTTGATGATTCCTGTGAGGTAGACACCATTACTGTTAATCTCAATCTTTAATTATCTAGTAAATGATTGTGATATATTCTATATCTAATACTCACTCCATCCTCATGTATTGTACTCATTTCTAATTTACTCTTAGAAAATAATCACTCACTAGATAATCAATAATTATAATTAAGTATTGATCCCTCTATCACTTTTTTGGTGGGGAAAGGATCCGAATACGGAGACATTCTATCTTCTATGAGAATAAGAAAGAAATATCTAAAATATATTGTTAATTATAACAATGCAAAAGAAATTAATACAAATTTCCAACAATATTCACCATATTAATATAAGGAGGCAAATTAAGGGAATTTAAAAATATTAACAAGAATAACTATCACCATCAAATCTTGCCCAATGGTCCTCATCATCCATGTCAACATTTAGTTGATCAGCAGTTTGTTTGTAGGGCCACATTTATTAACATTTCTTGCTTGCTAAGTCCATGTGTATATATCTAGAAGCCAAGCAATTTTCTCTTATTTATAGCCCCCACCTCACTTGAATTATCTCTAGACCCCCAATTTGATGATTAGACCAAAGTTTTGTAATAAATAGAACTAGTCCTTCTGATTGTGCATGAATCTGTTGACCAAGATGATGCTGTTGGTTGACCGGCGATCCATTCGCGTCCCAAGTTAGTTTTCTCCCCCTTCTAGATTATTAGCACACAATTAGAGTATGATTTGCACTGCTACTTAAATGTTTAATCAGAGTATTTTTGTTCATGAAAGTATCTCTCTTAGGGATAAAAGGATGTTCACTCTTGACATAAATATTAAGGTTCCGATGTTTTGTGTAAACTTGAGTATTTATGATACAAGTTGGAAATGTATACACGTCTAGACACGAAAGCTATAATGCTATATAATAATTTTCTACCGAAATTCATCTAATTTAAAGAGAATCTTGAGAAAAAAGAGGTTGACGATTGACCTGGGATTCACGAGAAAATAAATTTTTTGACTAATTAAGCTCATAAATGCAAAAGCAAAATTTTCTTCGACATGAGAATATTTTATTTTAATTTTTTTTTATTTCAATCTGATTGGCTAAGAAGCAAAATATTTGTATTAATTTTCTCAAGCGAGCTGTATATTATTGATTTTTAACAACTTTTTCACTATTTAAAGCGAGTCAAATGAATGCCATTAGGTATGAATAAAACTATTATTTTTTGTTTTCTTAAGGGGCTGTTTGTTTGGTTTCCTAAAAACCAAGAAAACCAAGAAATGGAAATGGAAAACATGAAAATAAAACCAAGAAAACCAAGAAATGGAAATGGAAAACATGAAAATCTCAAAAAATACTATTTCCTCCATTTCCATCCCTAAAACTCACCCACAACATCCAATAAAATATTATTTTCATCCAACAACTCATCCACATCATCTAATAAAATATTATTTCCATCTAACCACTCATCCATCACATCTAATAAAATATTATTTTCATCTAACAACTCATCCACCACATCTAATAAAATATTATTTTCATCCAAACATCACTCAACTCATCTCTTTTCATCATTTCAAATCACTCACATCATCCAATAAAATATTATAACAATTCACCTCATCTCATTAACATTTCATTTCTCCATTTTCATCCCAAAAAGTTATGAAAACACTTTTCTTAATCTTTCTTCACATCGCCTAATAATACAATGACAACTCACCTCATCTCATTTCATTTCTTATTTTTAAGAATGAACCAAACAAAAAAAAACAACAAAACTACAGGAAATAAGTTTCTTATAATTTATTTCCTTATTTTTTTCGCCAACCAAACAACATCAAAACTAGTTTTCTTAAAAAATCACTCACATCATCCAATAATAATTTGACAACTAACATTATTTCATCTCCATTTTTTTGATTTCCTTCTTTTTTTAGCCAACCAAACACTCCCAAACCAATTCTTCATTTTAATAGTTTTCTATTTCTTTGATTTCCCTCTTTTTTTAGTAAAACAAACAGCCCCTAAATAAACAACACTACTTGTTTATGTCCGACATTAAATACTGTAAAATTCTTGCGAGAATATTTTTAGAACGGTTTTGCTAACCATTACTCTACTAAGTACGATACTTAAAGGAGGAGGGAGAGAGAGAGAGAAATAGTTGAGGGTGAGTGGGGGATTCTACATTTCCTACTCAAGACTCAATTCTTTTCTCACACCTCTCTCTAATTCTCTCCTTCTTCTAGCGAAATTCTTTTTCCAAATTATTTTTATGGCTTGTACTAATTGCCCAGTTTGCATCTGTTGGTCTTTTGAAATGTTAGTTCAATATATCTTTCTTTTGGACTATAAAGATGTATGATGTATGATCTTATTTATGATGGCCAACTTGATTTTATTAAAACACAAAAGAAATTAATTTTGGATTTAAAATCATGAGACCAATTATGGAACAAATAACATGTCTTTTTATTGGCTATTGCTATTTGTTTGAATCTAAAAAATTGACACTCACGATGTTAAAGTTAACCAGATTCTTCTAGAACTAAAGTTTTGATGGCTCACTAATTTGCTTTCAAATAGTTTGATGGAATTAAGTTATCCTTTTAGACGGTTTGACTAGATTCAATTAGAGTTTTCTTCTAGAAATATTTTTTAATATTTTTTTCTATTATAGTTAGTAAAGAATATGCTCAAATGTTGTTGTTTTTAAAGGAAGATTACCTCTAAGTGCAAGTATTCTGTCGTAAATTTTAGTTGAAGTTGTAGTTGAAATTTCAGGCAAACCAAACAACCTCTTCTATATTTTTCCATCGAATAATAATGTCCTTCTCTTTTTTTCTTTTTCTTTTGAAACAAAGTGATAGTAATCAAAGGGATTATTCTTCTATCAGAATCAAATTTACTAGTGCTTCTAGAATCATGCTAAGCCAATAAACGGTCATAATGAGCTTAACAATTTCACGCTATCACCTTTTATCAAGCATATTTTTCATTACCAATTTAAACCTTAATAGAAAATAAAATTAAAAAAAAAGGCAAAAAGACTCACAATCATGTGAAATGTTCTCCCATTTCCTAAAAAAAGTTGTGTCTTCATTTTGTACCCAATAAAAACTCCTCCCAAAAAACAAAACTCACAATATTTTCTCTCTCTTCTCCCTCTTTCTCCCTCTTTTCTGAGAAGAGAGAGAGGGGAAATAAAAAGAGGGGAGAAATCAGAGAGAATAGCTTAGAATTTCTAAGGATTAATCACCTAATATCTGCTTAATTAATATTAATCCCCAACTCCTTTGCCCCCAAATCTCCTCCCACCCATTGTAAAAGCCCGGATCCAGCTTTGACCCCTCAAAATCCCCCCCTTCCCCCCTCTGATAGAGAATCAAGCCCTAACCCCAACCCTCTATATCAGATCCAAGATCCAACCTTTCCCTTCAATTCCTCTCCAAGATTCGATTTTGAATCATGGGTAACTGCTGCGCGTCGCCGGTGGATCCATCAGAGCGCCCCCCGAANACGACCTACCTCTGCATCGATCGAGAATCCGGCGAGCACCTCGCTTGCAAATCGATATCGAAGAAGAAGCTGCGGACCTCCGTTGACATCGAGGATGTTCGTCGAGAGGTCGAGATTATGCGGTCGCTGCCGCCGCATCCCAACATTGTTAGCTTGAAGGATACTTATGAGGATGATAATGCAGTGCATCTTGTTATGGAGTTGTGCGAGGGCGGCGAGCTTTTCGATAGGATCGTCGCGAGGGGGCATTATACGGAGAGGGCTGCAGCGGTCGTGACGAAAACCATTGTCGAAGTCGTGCAGGTGAGGGAGATTCTGGGTTCTTGGAGAAATTTCAATTGAATGTTTAGGTTGTAGATCTGAAAAAGATCGAAACTTGATAATTGTTCAGATGTGCCATAAACACGGGGTCATTCACCGGGATCTCAAGCCGGAGAATTTCTTGTTTGCTAACAAGAAGGAGACGGCTGCTCTCAAGGCGATCGATTTCGGGTTGTCTGTGTTCTTCAAGCCTGGTAGAACTTTAGTTGCTAATAATTTGGTAATTGTACATTTATTCGTTTTTTTCGTGCTAATTTTTTTTTTGTTTCTTTCGTAGGTGAGATATTCTCGGAGATTGTTGGCAGTCCTTATTACATGGCGCCTGAGGTTTTGAAACGACATTATGGGCCAGAAGTTGATGTTTGGAGTGCTGGAGTCATCCTCTATATCTTGCTGTGCGGTGTGCCGCCGTTTTGGGCGGGTAATTTCTTTGTTGGTTGAAGCTTGGAAGTTGATAAATTGGAATTTATCTGGTGATGGAAAGAATGCTTAGTTTTGTTGTGATCTGTTGGTTGAATGCAGAAACTGAACAGGGAGTTGCACAAGCAATTATTAGATCGGTTATTGATTTCAAGAGGGATCCGTGGCCTAGAGTTTCTGACAATGCGAAGGATCTTGTGAAGAAGATGCTTAATCCCGATCCTAAGAAGAGATTAACAGCACAGGAAGTGCTTGGTACACTTCTATTCCTTTTCCTTTTTTATTGCTTATCAAAGTCGAAGATATTTGGCGGAGAATTTGACTTACCGTTTCTTGTGTCAAATAAATTTAGTGTGTGTTACAAAATGTTGTATCTAAGGGGGGTTATTCATTGGGGTAATTTGGGGCAAATTGGGGCAAATTGTTCCAATGGGGTAATTTTACCCAACAATACAACCATCCACATTACCAAATGCTTCACAATCCACATATTAAATGCCCAACAAATAATTTGAATAACCATCCACATGAACCTAAAAAAGACACATAATTTCCGGAATTCAGAAATCCGTAACCAAAGTCCATCAAAAATCATGGGAGAAAAATAACTAATCATCCCTAATCTCATCATCTTTCATAAAAAAGATCCAATTTTGTCACAGAAGTCGTAAAGGAACCCTAAACCCAGAGCTCCCAAACCCCCAAAATTCTCAATTCAACAAAAAATAACAGACATTAAAACGTAATTAAAGGCCGAAGCTCACCTGATGGATTGGAGGATACATGAAATTAGTGCAAACAGGGCATTCGAGACCGCTCACTGACGCTGCTCGCCGGAGGGCCACCATCCCCGCGCGCTCGCTGCCTCTCCCGTCGTGGCTCTTGCTTGAGAAGGGCCTGCCAACAGGAGGAGAGGAGGCCGAAGACGCCGCCGTACGAGGACGGAGGCTTAGAGGGCCTGCCACCAGGCGCGGAGAGGAGGGACGGAGCCGCCGGAGACGAGGAGGAGACGACGAGTTGTAACCAGGAGCGGATGGAGAGGATGAGGTTCCAAGAGGAGAAGAGGAGGAGGGTGTAGACGATGAGGAAGAGGATGACCCAGGTGCGGCGTTTGCTGAGGGCCATCATCAAGACGGAGCTCGAGCTCGAGAACGGGAGTGGGGAATTTGTCCCCCTCTCTTGTTCCAGGAAGCGATATGGGGTAAATTTTGGGGGTGGGGCTGAGGAGGGGTTATATAGCTAGGGTAATTTTGGGGGAAGTGGGGAATTTGTCCCCAAATTATTCCAACAAACCAATAACACCATCAAGGTGAATCCAGCCCCAATTACCCCAACCAATAACACCAAAAAGTGGTGTTTCAAAAATTATCCCATTATCCCAATAATTACACCAATGAATAACCCCCCTTAGGGAATATAATGGCTACTTATGCTGAACGTGTTTATTATTTTTTTTTCTTATACATGGGAACCAATTAAAATTTACTCTTTATACTATAAGGACCTGTACTTACAGTTTTGTCAATTAATGATTACTCTTTTCTGGGTTCCTGCTTTTATCTTGCATTAGTTTTTAGTGGCAATTTTGGTCCCTGCTGTACATAACTGAGCGTGACCTGATAATTTTAAATGCAGATCATCCTTGGCTGCAGAATATTAAAAAGGCACCAAATGTTAATCTTGGTGAAACTGTGAAAGCTAGGCTTCAGCAATTCTCTGTGATGAATAAACTCAAGAAGAGAGCTCTTAGGGTAAAGATTTAAATTGAGACTTGCATGTTATCTTAATAGGCCAATGCCATTGTTCTTGGGAACTACAATGCTTATCAACTTGTAGAGTTGTTGCAGGTGATTGCTGAACATTTGTCGGTGGAGGAAGTAGCTGACATAAAGGAGATGTTTTCAAAGATAGATGTAAACAATACCGGGAATATATCATTAGAAGAGCTGAAATTTGGTCTGCACAAGCTTGGCCACCAGATTCCAGATGCTGATGTTAAGATTTTAATGGATGCTGTAAGTACCCAACCTGAATGTACCTTTTCCGTTACAGCATTCATTTGATTTTGCTTCTTTGTAATTTGGCTTACGAGCCTTAATTATCTTGTTAAGGAACATATTGAAACATAACTCATTACTAACTTTAAATTCATGATCGTGCGCAAAGTTTTGACATTGACCTGTTAAGTTGCCATAATTCATGTACTTGACACATTGTTTTCCTAGTACAACTTGTTGCATTGATACAATGTTTAATGTGTACTCTTCCTTTTTGTTTGATATAAGAATATCATTACTGTTTTTGCAATCTGCTTGTGAAAGTGATGTAGCATGTCAATGACAGGCTGATGTTGATGGCAATGGGACATTGGACTATGGAGAGTTTGTTGCTGTGTCGGTTCATCTCAGAAAGATAGGAAATGATGAGCACCTGCACAAAGCTTTCACTTACTTCGATCAGAACAAGAGTGGATATATAGAGATCGATGAGCTACGAGAATCCTTAGCTGATGACATGTGTCAAAATAATGAGGAAGTCATCAATGCCATCATCCGTGATGTGGACACAGACAAGGTCAGTGATCATGTTAGCTACCATTCTGCTTTCAGGATTACAACATAACATTTCTCTTGTGTGCATGCTTTAATTAAGTAACAATCATTAAATTGGGATTTATGATAAATTAAGTGACAATCATTAAGTTGGGATTTATGATAATAATTAGGTAAAATTACAAGAAAGTTCCTTCATTTATACCATATTTTTCAAGCCCTTATAATAAAGAGTTCAACAAAGAACCCTCTCACATATATCGTCATTAATGAAACCGTTAGTTTAAAAATGAAGTTTAATGATAAAAAATAGATTTTACTTTATTCAAGATTTTTTGAAA